TAATAATAATAATAATAATAATAATAATAATAATAATAATAATGAGAGCCAGTGTGGCATAGTGGTTTGAGTGATGGACTATGACTCTGGAGGCCAGGGTTCGATTCCTCTATCTTGGCCATGAAACTGTGGCCATGGAGGTGATATCAAATTATACAGTGCAGGTACACCATGTATATCCATAAAGAAAGGATCGTAAAACACACACACACGCACACACATAAGACAGCACCCTTTGACTCTTGTGAAGCTTCTTGACTTTCTCATTCTGTCTTCTTCTAGCTCTAGCTTCGAGGCACATGGACTTCGAACAGATGGAGGTGGACACAGCAGCGGCCAAAGTGGATGAGCTCTCGAAACAGCTGCAGTCTCTTTGGACGGACAACCCCAGCTCACCTGCCACACAGACCAAGGTATGGTTACAAGCAACGATCAGAAAAGTCCCTATAATAATAATAATAATAATAATAATAATAATAATAATAGGCTAATAGCATCTGGAAGGGACCACAAGGGTCACTAGTGCACCTCCTTCTATGCAGGGCTATGCAACTCAAGCACTTTTGAAAGATGCCAATTCAATCTCTGTTTAAAGGCCTCCAAAGAAGGAGAGTCCCCCACCTTCTGAGGTTGTCTGTTCCACCTTCAAAACAGCTCTTACAGTCAAGAAGTTCTTCTTAATGCAATCTTCATAGGATTGAGCTGACCTAATCTCTTAGACTTGGATTGGGACCAACCTCCACCATGCAGGAATACACAACGCGACCACTCTTGAAATACAGGTGTCCCTCCCGATTCATGGGGGATCTGTTCTGGATCCCTCCGCGAATCCGGAGAAACAAATATTGAATTTCCCATTGATTACAATGGGGGCACGCTCCTATGTGTAGTGCTGCATGTGCGCCTCAAGCGCTGACGCCATTTTGTCCTTTCCCACTGGCCATCCACGAATAAGCAAGACCGCAGACTCCAAGTCCACGAACGGGGAGGGATGCCTGTACACCCCTCCAAATTCTTATTTAAAGACCTCCAACGAAGGAGAATCCACCACTCTTTGAGAAAGTCCATGTTCTCCTTTCCAACAGCTCTGACAGTCAAGAAGTTCCTCCTAATGTGGATTCCTAATGTGGATTCCTAGGTGGAATCCCTTTTCTTGTATTTAAATTGATTGCTTTGTGGTCTAGTCTCTGGAGCAGCAGAAAACAAGCTGGCTCCATTTTTTACATGGCATCCCTTTAGATACTAAAAGATAGCTCTCAAGTCACCTCTCAGTCTTCTCTTCCCTAAACTAGGACATTCTCATGTTGAATCCATTGGTTCATCATTTTCTAGTCTCTGGAGCAATGGAAAACAAGCTTGCTCCAGCTTCCATGTAGAATCAGAGAATCAGAGAGTAGGAAGGGACTCCCAAGGGTCATCTATACAGGAATGCACAACTCCTGAAATATGTCCATCCAACCTTTACTTAAAGACTTCCAAAGAAGTCTGAGGGTATCCATTCCATTGACAAACATCTCCTACGGTAAAGAGGATCTTCCTCATGTTTAGGTGGAATCTCTTTTCTTGTGAATTAAATCGGTTGCCTTGTGTTCTAGTCCATGGACAAGCAGAAAACAAACTGGCTCCATCTTCTGCATGGCATCCCTTCAGATATTTAGAGATAGCTCTCATGCCACTTCTCCGTCTTCTCTTCCCCAAGCTAAACATACCTTGCTCCCTGAGTCATTCCTCATAAAGCTTGTTTTGCAGACGTTTGATCATCTTGGTTGTCCCTCTCTGGAGATAATCAGAGAATAAATTATTTATTGTATTCCATTTAAATATTTATATGCAGTGGACCTCAGGGCGGTGTATGGATAAAGTGAATCATTGGAAAACAATGAAAATAAATTCAGGAGGCTAAAAGTGCATTGGGGAAAAAAATTAACAATGATTGTACTTCACCTCCCAAAATCCCCTCCCAGCAAAGGTCCAATGGTTAATTTTGATGTGCAAACAAGTCATCCCAAGAATACTCATGGCCGCACCCCCAAGGAGTCTCCCAAAATGCAGCCCTGAGATTTGGCTACCTATAATTATCATCTTTAAAGACTTTAATTATAGCCGTTGGTGAGGCAGACTTCAGTACAATGTGACTCTGTTCAAGTAAACGTTAATACACTTGGATTTACAAAGCTTCCTAATATGGTGGTATGTTTTTGTTGCATGCCTTCCAGTTGTTTGTCATTTATTTTCTGGCTCTGTTATTATTCTGACTGAGAATATTATTATTATTATTATTATTATTATTATTATTATTATTGGTACTGCCATGAGTAGTCTTGGGGTGACTGTTTGCACTTCAGAATTAAGCACTACATATCTGTCGGGCAGGTGAAGTATAAACATGGTTAATTTTTTAAAATACACTTTTAGCTTGTTTAAATTATTTTCATTGTTTTAGAATGATGATGATGATGATGATGATGATATTATTATTATTATTATTATTATTATTGCGCAAACCACTACTCCAAGCTAGTTCTTTGTGGTCTTTGAGTTGGTTAGACTTGGGGGAGATGCACCCCCACAAAAATCAATAATTTGCCTTCCAACACCTTCTGGGGAGAGAAGAGGAGGGTCCTGGGGTTTGGTTTGTATTTGCAGTAATTTTAATTGTTGTAAGCTGCCCCTATTGTTTTAACAGAGGGTGGGGTATAAGTAAATTTATTATTATTATTATTATTATTATTATTATTAGGTTGGTGGAGGGCATTTTCCAGGCCCAAGAGAGGTGTCTCTCTCTTTTTTTCCAAAACAAAAAATAACTGGAAGTAACTTCTGGTTTATTTATGGCTTTTTTAAAAGGAATTTCCTTTTGGGTCACATCCTGGGGAAAAAGGTAGCATATAAATAAAGTAAATAAACAAATACATAAAAGTTCCTGGTCTTAAAATGAAAACATTTTATTAATTTTTGATTTATTTATAGTATTTATACCCCGCTCTTTATAAATGCTCTCAAAGTGTCTTGCAAAATGTTAATTAGACAGTTCCTTGCCTTCAGGCTTACAATCTATTTTATTTTATTTTATTTTACAATTTTGTGAAAACAGGGTGAAAAAATACCCCCTGGAGGGGATTTTGGGAAGGGGAAAAATAAATTGGTGCCAGAGGATGAGAATGGCCGGCCATCTGCTTTCAATAATCTTTCTCTGTTTTGTGTCTTGATGATGGCAGATGATGGAAAGATACAGCAGTGGCGGTGGCCGCCCTTCCCAAGAGACCCTGGTGAAGATGAGCCCCCGTTCTGCCTCCCCGCTGCCTTCTCTCCCCCGGAAAAGTGCCTCCTGGGATGCTGCCGAAAACAGCGGCTACTCTTCCTATTCCTTCGGCGAGGGGTCACCGGGTTCTACCCACCTCTCCCCCTTCAGTCCCTCACCCAACCAGCTCCACCCCAACAAGTCCCCCCTTGGACGCCCCACTTCGCCACGACCTTCCCTCTTCCTGCAGCCGGAGCTGGACCGGAACCCAGCTCCATCCTCCTCCAGGCCCAAGGTCCTGCCCGTCCCGTACGACTCCCCGACCCACGTCTCCTCTCCACGCTCCCTCCGGCCGAGCGTCTCCTCCGACCGCCAGTACGAATACAAGCCCTATGCCGGAGCGTTGGGCCGAGAGGGCTCCCCACGGATGCCGATGGAAGGTTCTGGAACACCCCAGGCTTTCTTCCCGGACCGAGTGCCATCCCCACGGCCGCCCCTACCACCTCCGTATGAGAACCATAACCTGTACCCCTCGGCACCCAGCACTTTTGCACCCTTCCGGGCTCAAGGTAAAAGTCTTTCAGAGTGCATGATGTGAGGTTTTTGTACAGTCAGCCCTCTGTATCCATGGATTTTGCATCCAAGGATTCCGCCATCCATGGCTTGGAAATATTCAAAAGAAAATAAATACTAAAAAGCAAACCTTGATTTTTGCCATTTATATAAGGGACACAATTTTACTACGGCATTGTATCTAACAGGATGTTAGCATCCATGGATTTTGGTAGCCACAGCGGGTCCTGGAACCAAATCCCAGTGGATACGAAGGACCCGTCGTAGTATGCTAATTCTAAAATGAGTAGCCACCACCAAAACGGTACTCATTCTAAAATGAGGGGCCATTACCACAAATGTTAATTCTCTACTGTTAGCAGCATATCTGATGAAGAAGGTAGGGGCATCCAGGAAAGGTCCTCTAAAACAGATCTTCATGGTTCACCCCACTTTTCCCACAGATGACTTGGTGCTTCGGAGGAGGGGGCCAAAAGGATGGAACGAATCTGACTTGGATGTGGCCTATGAGAAAAAGTCAGCCCACTCTGTTGGTTATGAACGTAAGTCCTGGAAAGGTTTGAGGGATGGACAAGTGGGGTGGGATAAAGGTCAAGACGGAAACCTTCACTCCATTTCCTGCATGGGACTGAAGTCATAAGGAATGGGCACCTTGGTGGACAAAGGAAAGGATGCAGTGGGGTCTTCCCATCTCAACAAGGGTTCCTTGTTCCGTAGGAGGAGATGCACACATCGGCCTCCGCCAGAGCGCCTCGGGGCTGCCGCTTGCTCCTTGGAGGGAATCGAGCTTGGATGGGAGCATTGGACAAAGCAAGGTGAGTTGGGAACTCTAGAACTACTGTTCCCATCTGCAGTTTCCCCATTCACTTCCATGGGAAAGCCAACCGATGGATCGTGCCTCATTTGATCCACTGAAGAAAAGGTGGGGTGATGTTCTGGAATGCGGTGATACTGAATGAAAGCAAATGGAAACCCTCTTGGATTTGCAAAGGTAGTGAACCCAGTGCTTTAAGATGGTATTTAAAGAAGGAAGTTCTTGTGCCAAGTCAGAGTATGGAGTTAGTTGGAGAGTTTGGTTATTATTATATTATAATTATAATAAAATAAAGCCCAATTGTGGTGTGTGGGGGTGTTGGTTGGGGAGAATTGGTGGATGGATCACGAGTTGCCATATTCTTGTTCCCCCAAGCCAAGCATCAATTCTGTGTTTGTATGAGTGTGTGTGTAAACATACATTTGAAGGTTTTTACCCTTTTCTTATTCTCTCCCACAGGAGGAGCATTATGGGATGCACAGTGCCACTTTG